GAAACAAAATCGAAAGGCGACATATAAACAATGCACGCAAACAAGAAATGTCTGGCAACACCAGCAAAGTTTTGAGACGATTTTGCGACGACTGCTAGAAAGGGGTGCTCACAGTTTGATGCTAAAGATGTTTCAAAATGTAGACGTCTACATTTTCAGACATAATTTGGAACGAACTGTGAACACCCCAAGTATCAAAAACAGCGGAGTTACATGCAACTCTTTTAAATAGGGATTATTGATATTATTTTTATAACGTTTTTTGCTTCTCCTGTAAAATAGGAAAATTTGTTGGTTGGGGCCTTTGTAAAGCTCGGAACACTTTGACGACAGCAAGCGACAAGCAGCATCTGTCAAATTTTAAATGCACACGTTCTTACGGACACAATTATTTTGACGACAGCACGACATCTTGGCTGCAGGACTGCAATTGTCGACGTCGCCAAATTAAATCTATTTCTAATTTTGCCGGCGACAATGAGTAGATGTAGTGCTGCAAAATTAAATTGTCGCAAAATTAATCACATATTCTTGATTGTTCATGTTTTTCTTATTTACTTAAATAAAAATACACAATTTGTGAAATAAATATACCAAAATGTCAAACTTTAAAATCAGCTGTTTGCTATGTCGCTGAGGTCTTCAAAATGTTTAAGAAGCTGGCTTCAAGGCGACATTTGTCGACAAAATGATGTCGCTGTCGTTACGTCGTGAAGTTGCAGTCGTCAAAGTGTTCCGAGCTTGAATTGAGGTCACGATAAGTAAATTTTATATATAGTGACGAACAAAAGTATTGGCATAGAGAATTTTTCGCACTACATATATGCAAAGTTTTTCATTCTCTAAGGCCTGTATGCAGCTCTCAAGAAAATCAAAAACTCCATATAAAATGACGTACAAGAAATGGCTAAGAAATTTTCTTGAGTCAAATTTCCTTAAGGCAGTACGCAGTTCTTAAGAAATTTACTACGCTTTTCTAAAGGTTTTTTGTGAAAAAAGAGCACAAGGCAACCCAGGCTTGCAACAGAAATATATGCCCGTTCCATTATTTCTTGAGGAAAGAGTGAGGCAACAGGCTGTGAGGTATCAAAAATGTCAAAATTCCTTGGACACACACGCGAAATAATGGCAATTTTTTCTTGACCGTTTTCATGAGAGCTGCATACAGGGCTTAAGGCGCTGGCCCAATGGCTTTGCACGCATTGCTTACTTTAATTTGCTTTGATTTACTTCAAAAACTCGTTTGGCCAAATGGCGGCTTGGAACGCTGTCAAAGCAACCAGCTGTGTAGTTAAAAAGTCAAGGTCTGTTTCCTTACACTAAGAATAATTTTGCCATAAAATTCCAGAAAATTAAAAAAAAAGAAATACAAAACAATTTTTTCAGATTTATTTTTAAATGAATGTGAATTAATTTTTGCATTTCAAAGGAATGATAATTATTATACATACATATATAACTATATGTACATTTATTAAGAACAACAAACTAAAAATAAAAAAATAGATTTTTCAAGAGACGACTTACCAGTAGTTTGACATCATAAATATCGCCAGCTTTGTGTGAAAAGTTGATAAGTCTACATTTTATGAAGCCTCCAATTTTGATATAGAGAGTAAGAGAAATTAAGGATTAAGGTACTTTTTTTAACAGAGATCTAATCCTTCTGATTTGTATGGAGTTTTGCTTTGCTTTAAACACGCAAAATGTTGTAATCAAAGTCCATGTAAAATTGTAAAAATGGACTTAGCAACTTTTCACTTTATGCCAGCGACATGTTAAATAGATTACTTTTTATTAAACTTTGAGTTACTAATATTATACATATATTTTTTTTAAATTACGTAAGAAAATTTTTGTACATAAAAAGATGGAGCAGTTTGTTTGAATTGATTTAGAAGGGGAACATATCGTTTTGTCAAAAGGCTACGAAACGCTTTCCAATAAAACTTTTACCTATTTGAAACTTTGAGGAGCTTAAAGCAAGTGAAGCAAAGCTGCCATTTGGACACCCTTCATACGTTTTAGTATATTCCAAATAACTTTTGACAGTTCTCAAAGCGAAGCAAGCAAAGCAAGCCTGCATTGGGCCAGCGCCTTTATTTCTTTTCGATTTTTTTTATAAAAATGTAGTTCATACTACACCAAAAATATCATATCCTGCTATCAAGAATGCAAGAAGGAGCTACTACCGGCGTCTCAGTCCATATCTATCTCTCTTGCCTGGGTTCCCAGTCATAGGAATAAAGAAGGCAACGAGAGAGCAGATGAATTGGCCAAGGCGAGTACAAGTTTGAAGTACATAGCTAGAAAACAAAGCGTTGATTTTTGCGGACGACGTTTTTACACAAAAAAAAAAAAAAAAAATCGAACATAATTTGTATGGAAGAAACTGCTTGCAAAGAATCCTTATCCTATTTTCTTTGTCGTAGTATCGTGAAACTATCTCAAAGATTTTAGTACCGGATTTTAGATATATGAGCAGTTTATTTTGAAAGTAGCATAAGTCACATTTTCAAAAAAAAAAAAACATCGAGTTAATGATAACAACAATAAGAATTTAACGGTATCTCTCAATTAAAAAAAAAAAAGAAATTGCATTGGAAAATCAAGTTAATGATAATAAGGATTACACCGAGCAAAAATCAATTTTGCACAAAAAATATATATACACCCAAAACGTTTTTAGTTTCTCTCTCTGGCGTCATAATGTTTTAAGAGGACTTCGAAATTTCAAAGATTTGATTACTTCCAAAAATTATTTAAAAATTCAGTGCTATATAGAATAACAATATGGGTACCAAATAAGAGATAATATTCTGTAGAATTGAAAAATATTAAAGTTGTTGCATAAGGGTGAAAAGGTATTGAAAATGTCCATTTAAAATTTTGTCTTTGAGTATCCTTGCTTATTTGCAGTATATTTTTTTGAAAAAATTGTAGGTTAAAGAATTTCGTCCTTCTAACTTTATCAGTTTAAAAAATTACCCATTCGTCTTTGTTAATCCAAACAATTTTAAGTTTTTTAAGTTCTAAATAAGTTTCCTCCTTCATTTGGTATCCATAGGTTTCAAACCCATTGATTTATTTATTATTTTATGGTAGGAGAGATAGAAGCAATTTTTCGATTTGAGTTGTTGAAAAGTAATGAATATTTAAGTCCCGGGATCCCGGGATTGTGATAACGACATCCCGAAAATCCCGGGATCGTAAAAAGCGGAAAAATTAACAGCCCTACTATACATCGTCTAGTTACATTTTCATGGGTAACATAACTTGCGAATACGTTTTTGGAAACCTTAAGAATTTAGATTCTTGAAATCAGTCGCAAGATATAATATTCAGGAGTGCACGATGCTGTTCATTTGTCGCCTCGATACGGCATCACATTCAAGGCGCAGGTGCAATGGCGTCTCCTTAGTTGAGTCGCAGAAATGACAGAGATCATTCGAACCGATTCCCAAGTAGGAAGTAGATGGTCTCTTAGCCTGCGGTGACCTGTAAGGATTCATGTAATGATTCTAAGCTTTTGTTTGAGGAGATTAACTGGAAGTTTGTGAAAGGTAGATTTATATTAACAGCAACTATAACGGGTCATTTTGTTCTACTGTTTCCTTTATTACAATATATTTATATTTATTATGATTTTATTATCTATTATATAATTGTATAATTTCAGACTTCACCATGTCCGAATTTTACGAAGCACAAACTAAAATAAAACAAAACTATAGGCTTCCCAGGACCATCGATAGTCGACAAGAAATCTTCAGTAATAGTGACGCCCGCGATAGACATAGAAAATTATACTTATTTCGTGATATGATTGGGGCCAGCGTTAATTTGGCACTACGCGATAAATCCTGTTGCATGGATACAAGTTTCCTAAATCGTTTTTTATATGCAAAGAAATTCGATTGTGAAGCAGCTTTAGATTTACTTATAAAATATTTACTATACAAAGAGAATAATAAGCACATTTTACAAAAACTCAGTATTTTTGATGAAAACATACAGACTTCCTTAAGAGATGGTAATCCATCTGTACTGAAACAACGCGATCGCAAGGGGCGTAAGGTGTTAACATTTGCGGCCGCCAATTGGGATACAAATAAATATAGCATGGAGGATGTGTTCAGAGCATTGTTGCTATCATTTGATAAGCTATTGGAGAATGTTGAGAATCAAGCATTGGGATTTGTTGTTATTGTTGATTGGACGAATTTTACATATAAGCAATCAACGCATATCTCAGCGAAAACGCTTAAATTGATGATTGAAGGACTGCAGGTATGTATGTTAGGTGGTAGATAACCTTAATCTTAATCTTCAATCACAACTTCATCGTCATATTCATCTTCATCATCGTCTTCAACTTTATCTGTATCTTAAGTTTTATCAGTATATTCATCTTCATCTTGATATTTGTGTGTATTAACTTTTATTTGTAGCTTTATCTCTATCTTTGTTTTTATCTTTATCTTCTTTTAATGTTTATCTTTATAATGACGTTTGTCCTTATCCTTGACATTATTCTTATGTTCTCTTCATTTTTATAACAATATTCATCTACATCTCTTAGCTTCCTCATCTTCTTCGTCTTTTTCTTAGTGTCAATCTTATAGCTCATTTCCACCAAGTCTTAACAGCAGTTTATGCCTATTTTGCAAAAAGGAGCTTACAACTCGAAAGGGGTAATTGCTCATATAAAGTACAGGTAATCGAAAGCANCATTTCCACCAAGTCTTAACAGCAGTTTATGCCTATTTTGCAAAAAGGAGATTACAACTCGAAAGGGGTAATTGCTCATATAAAGTACAGGTAAAAAGCAAAAATTAAGAAATAAATTTTGCTGATCACACCATGCTGACTTTTTTTTAACTTACCTGGACTCTTAACTGCACTTAAGCACTTAGTGGAAATGGGCTATTGCTCTTTGTCTGTATTTTAAAATCTGTTTTTATCTTTTTGATTGCTTGTGTTCCCGACATGGTAGGCATATGTAAATATGTTTTATTATCGATTGATTTCCCGCCATCCCTTGCCCAATTTGGTTTGAAGACAAACGGATTTCGGCGTTGTGGCATCTTCACAGCAGTTTTTCGTTCCCGAGGAAAATCGTTTGGCAATACATCGTTTCTCTTTGTCTTTGTTGGTGTTGTTGTTGTTGTTGTTCTTGTTCTAGTGGCTACAACAACCCTACCCACATCGGCTAGTATCTCAGTCGTTGTCGTCAAGCTCAACTAACTGAAGACCTAAGAAGCGTGCAGCCTCTATAGGGTCCGTCCACAGGGTCAGAGGCGTTAGCTGTGTGAGATTTTGTGGACATGCGAATAAATGTTTCGAGTCGTGGGGTGTCTCTCCGCATGCCGGACACTCATTGGGCACATTTGCATCTTTGTATTTGTCGTTGCCTGGGACTGCGCCTTTGCCTTTGTCTTCAGTTTTGACTTTATCCTTATGCTTATTCTTGTCGTTATCTTTGCCTTTATCTCTCCCTGCTCCCAGTGGCGTTCAACGCAGTCCTTAGTTTTTTTTTCACTTGCCATTCGCCATATACCTGCTTCACGTGGCATTAAATATTTAACGCAAATATCTTTGAACCGTTTAAAAAGTTTCACCTAAAAAAAAGAGACGACTTTTCAAAAAATATATTCAAAGGCTTATCTTTTCCTGGCGGGTCTGGCCGCTATTGCATAGAAAAAAATTGTTTGTTCAGACTAGTAATCGAACCTCGTTTTCTTCGATAAAAAAAAAATATTTGCTTTTTTCGGTAACCGATAAGTTTGAACAGATCCAATCTACTTTGAGCTGTTAAATTACACACTGATGTGATATCTGACAGATATTATAGGGCGGCCATCAACTCGAACCTATTCACTATATTCTCAAGATTTTGCGTTATTTAACTTATATGCCTTAATTGGATACAAGTACGTGTAAATAGCCGTAGTCCTCTATATAGAAACTTCCGGTATGTATTCATTCATTATTCACCTAAATAAAATTATTCTTATATCAAATTTCATTTCTTCATATGTAGGCCGTGGTAATTAACAGAGCCGCTGGTACTGTAATCGGAAAATCTGTATTTCGCTATCCAAAACTTTGGCCAATTATTTCGGTTTCTATAGATACATAACTGTCCGATATGTTGTTGTGTTATGTTTTATCTTACCGTTATTGGCAGTTCTTATCTATCGGCGTCCGCATACATACATGACGAACCCTGTTCCTTCATACATACATACATTATTGTATTTACATACAAAGTATATTATTATTAGGGTCGGGTGTAATTTTTCTCCAATAAGTAGTCTCCTAGTGACTGTGAGAAAAAAAATCTACGAGAAAAACGTGCTTTCTTTTTAAGTTGAAAAACAAGCATACCTGAATAAGTAGCCCCAATAAAGTAGCCATTGTGAACTGCATGGAGCATCGAAAGCTTCGAATATTTCGTAAATGGCGATTTCAGTATTTTTGCTGCTAAAAAGTGGATTGATTGATTATTCCTTTTTCTATATCTAAAAGTCACTGTTTTCGAAAACTTTTGCATTAAGCATCTGATTTTTTTCAATTAGCTGTATCTATGATTGATGAAAAACCAACAAATACAATAGCGTTTTTGTCGAAATTGGTAAAAAAAAGTTCCCGCAGTGAACTTCAAGAAAAAAATTGTACTAGAAAAAAAAATACATACTTATGTATGTATATGAAATGCAAAAAGCCGTAAACACAACAAGTTTTTTTACATAAAACGACGTGCAGACTTGTAATTCCATGAAATACATCATTATTAATCTTTCTTATTTTGATTTTTTTTTTTTCGAAAGTTCCATCTCAAACGAATCATGGCGATCGAAAATTGGTTTCTAAAATTTCTTCTTTGCTGGGAATAAAAATGGATGAGAACATTGGCAAACTTGGGAAAATAATAAAAATTATTAAAGTAAAATCAACATTGTGGCGTCCCCGAAAAACGTCGGCGGCAAAAACGCTGGCGCCTCAATTATGAGCCATTCCAAATGCCTTTGTGAGTTTTAATTTTGACAGCGGTTAACCGTCGACCACTTTACCGTTACGCTAGACCGTACCACCTTACAAGAATGAATTGTGTTTATTCGTTATTTTGAAGGGACAAAAAAAATTCTAAAAAATCTACGGTATTTTTTAGCCATTTGAAATTTGTAATTTAATCCACTAGAATTCAACGGGCTGAAAAATTGCGTACTCAGAATCTTTCTAGGAAATCTAATTAAAAATGCTCGAAACTTTTACGAAAGTTTGTTGAATTTGTTAAATATTGCCTAAAGCTTGAAACTTGTATATATACGGGTTTTGTTAAATAATGAACTATAGTTTTATAAGAAAAATAACCAAATTAAATAACAAAAAAATAATGTGTCAAAATGTGGTGCGGCTATAATAAATCCGACCACTGTACATTCGGCAATATAAAAAATCTATTTAAAATAGTTTTACTCAAATAAGGAAAAGTTTAATAATTTTTGACGAGCTTTAATTTACTGACATTAGGGTGGTACCTTACGGTGATAAGAACTGAGATCTGGTGCGAAAGTCCTAGAACGGGGTACTTAAGGTAAATCAACTTTGGAAGAAAAAAAAATGATCTTCGGCATAAGAACATCGATGCTCGACATGCTTTAAGATCCGACTATAAAAGCCGAAGATATAACGAAAGCTTCAAAAGGCGCCTCCTATGTTCGGCAAAATAAACCGAAATTTCCTTGCAATAATCCTTTCGACTCAGAGGCGTACGGCGTACTTTTTTCTGGTATGGTCTAATATACATACAAAGAATTTCTTGCTCAAAGAATTTATAAAAGGGATGAAACTACCTTTGTTTATATGGACTACAAAATATTTCAAAAAGAAATGCTAATTTATATAAAATAAACTGGACCATCCTAATGTAAATATGTATATATGAGTTGTATGAACAATGTACCTTATATATACATACATGTATGTACATTAGACTGCATCACCAAAAAAGTTGCGGTTTTTCGCCGGTATTACAAAATTTATTATATTTTAAGACGTCCACCAAAATATTTCGGAAAAGAATTAAGATTTACGTGAGCTGGACCGATTCGAAAATACCTTCAAAAATGAATTTTTTTGTGAATAAAAATAGTTTCTTAAAGATCTTTTTTTGAAAAGATCCCCTCAAATAACAAAACGGTTTGTGCTTTAAAATTTGCATAAGAATATAAATATAAAAAATTTAAAAAAAACTTTGAACAGAATCGTAATAATATGATTTTTGATGCTGTTTTTTAACCTTTTTCAAAGATTTGTATAAGAAAATTTGTATTCATAAAAAACTCCATTTTTTCCGAAATATTTTGGTGGACGTCTTAAAATATAATAGATTTTATAATTCCAATGGAAACACAGTACCGACTTTTTTTTGTATGGGAAGTGATGCAGTCTAATGTACATACATTTGTGCCCAGTGTAGTGCAAATATTAGTCAAATACATTTAAAATTTACTGCTTTTAGGGCACTTTAATATTTCATACCTACATATATTGCAAATATATACATAAGTACATACATATATACATACATATGTACATATATATGAGTGTGCAAAACTTTATCATTAAAATTTTATCGTATCATCTACATATTTGAATCCCAAGATATATCGAACATGCAGATGATACCAAATTTTGTTTCCACAAATGGGAAGGGCCAATTAGATAACGCTAGCTGATATTCGAAAATATTAAATTCCGTGTCAAAAAGTATTATAGATATTGTATGTACATTTCTATATGCATGTGTTTGTACATATCTATGTAAATGAGTCATAAGTAGTATTTCTTGCAGTTATCGTGGCTGTCGAGAATGCTCAAAGAATTTATTAGCCGGAAGAAATAATAAGGACTGTAAAATTGGCTAATTTTATACTCATCGAGATTTTCGTAAGATATGTAAGAGCAAAAAAAAAGTCCGTTTTATGAAATTCCGCATGCGCAGCGTACAACAAAGCAAAGCGGAATATTCTCGATTGAGGTTTCGTCGCCTGGGTAAAAGATTGTCGTATGTTGATCTCGGCAGGTTGTGGGAAATCGCGATTGAAGTTTGGAATGCAATTTCTCAAAAACGCGAAGATAGATATTCCCCAAAGTCTCTGAAAATGTTACTAGTCCACAAAATTCTTAAATTATTTAATTTTTAATGTTTAATGTTAATTAGCTTTGAGTTTATGAAGGATTTTCTTTAGTAAAATTTTGTCGTAAGCGTCATTTGTCCACAGTTTGGCAGCCACATTGTATGAAATACGACAAAATGTGATCAAAATTTCTACTAAATTAACGACACTTTTTATTCAATATCTCGGAAACTAAAGGAGATATCCAAAAATGGAGAACGTCATTTCTAAGATATTGATTAGTTTAATATGGCTGCATCACTAACTAAATTTTTACTAAGTTATAGAAAAAATTTTAGTCAATATCTCGGAAACTAAAGGCGATATCTGAAAACTGATAACACCAATCGAAAGACCTTATTTCAAAATATATAACTGCGTCTAGAACTAAAAATCGTCAAAATTGCGCTTACGACAATCTTTTACCCAGGCGACGGTTTAGAAATTGGTTACATCAAATGGAATCGATTTGAATTGAATGAAAGGAAATTTAGTCGTGCACTTCGACGACATTCCAACAATCCGAAAAAAACTAGATAGCATCAATGTGACCTTTCAGCAGCGGATAAAAATAAACCGGCATGTGCTGCATATCGTACGATTTGAAATCGGTGCGATCTACAAAACTTATTTTGAAGATTTCTTAAAAATGGTCAAAAATTTGGTTCTATATCGAAGGATATATAATATATATATAATATATCATTTAGTGTTTCTAGCAGTTTTTATTTGAAATATGCGTTACGTGCATTAATTATAGCTCTGATCCAGTACTCCATGAACTTACTGGATTTTACACGAACTTGCAGGAAGTTGCAGGAAAAATGTTCCCGTACTCCAAAATCCTGTAAATGAGAGCGACTTTTGGAGAGTTGTGTAGAGAATGAGTTGCAAGATTTTACCAGAAGAAAAAGTTCATGAAAAGTGTCAAGCAATCACTGGTTGACGTTTTTACAGGAAAAATGGTTTTTTTGTTCCCGTACTTTTGGTTGTTACTCACTTTTTACTCTCACTTCAGAGAGTAATTTTGCTGTTTGACATTTTTACAGGATTTTGCACGAAAAGCATTGAATCAGAGCTTATATTAGGTGCATGCATTCTCTATCATTTCTGACTAAAATATGAAAAGTGTCAAAATGCAAAAGCATAAGGAAAATGCGCTCACTAAAAGAGAATAACAGGAAATAGTAAAGGAACGCAAAAACCCAAATTTTTAAGGGCTAACTATAATATGAATAAGCTGCCGTAACTGACTGTCAGAAAATGAACGAAAAGTCTGTCAAATGCATAAGCAACGTAGTGTAGACTTTTAGGTGGCTATATTTTACTTACATGAGTTCAGTGTTGCCACATTTAATTAGATATAACAATAGCCACTATCAAGCAGTTTGGTGTAGATCACACAATTATAGTAACCTAGAAACGCCGAAGAACTATTCGCCTTGCGAAACTTTCAGGGTAACCAGGTGTTTCTGTAAAAGGAAACGATTACGGCCCACTTCCTAATGTGGAACCAGAACTTCTTTTGACCTGTGTTACATGTAAGACTGAATCGAAAAAGTTACCGTGTTAAAAATAAGTTACAAAATTACCAAATATGATAAATAAAGAAAAAAATTACCAATGTCGGTAAAAAAATTGCAATGCGGCAACACTGCATGTGTTACATATGTACATACATACGTACGAGGACAAACAGCTGATTCCGTACGGAAGGCGATCAGTTTCGCTCTTTCCTTAAGCAAATGACGTTTGGTGAAACTTGGCGAAACTTGATGTTGAGCACATTATAGTTTCTGAATAGGATTTATGTGTATTCGCACGTTTGCATACGCTTATAGTTAGTCCTTTAGCCCAAAGAATGGCAACAACAAAACTAAAGTCAAATAAAAATAGAAATGTATGTACAAAACATATTCACACAAGCACAAGCTTATAGGCGGCATACACAGTGCGTCTGAGTCGCTTGTCATTTGTGTACGTGTTGACTCGCCTTCGACTACACACAGTTGAATCATTCAGAGTAATGTCAGGAGTCATGTCGGTGTAACTAAGGGTCTGATTATGCATACTTCGCATAACTTCGCACAACCATTTGTACCAGTGCAATAAAATTGTAACTTAAGAAACTGTGAAGCAAAATCTAAACTAAACAATTTGCTAAGTTTTTAAAAGTTCTGCTAATTTCTGGGTAATGGAATACATACAAGATACATACAAATATCATACGAAATTACAGTTTGAAGGTTATGCGAAGTTGTGCGAAGTTATGCGAAGTATGCATAATCAGACCATAACACATATAAGTTGCGTTCGGGTACGCTTTCTGGTAAATTCCTGCAACTGTTGCAACTGCTTGCGAGTTAGGGAACGCAACTATTTTCACAAATACATCCTACTATATCAATTATTTTTTGCCTCCCTCCATTTTCAATTCACTTTTTTTTTAGTTGTCAGATTATTCTCACTTTTCGTTTATTCTTTTATTTCCGTTAACTTAAATTCAGTTGAGTTTGACACTTTTCAAGATTTTGCCAGCAAAAATCCTTCTAACTAAATCTGACTACTTCGGACTATTTCTGGGAGATAAGGAACGCAACTATTCTGTCTTATCCTGAGTTTCGCCCGAAAAAAAAAAATTACCCGAAAAGTTTTCATCCGCCCCGAACCGGTTCACTTTTCATTCTTGGTTTCCATGGTTTTACTATGGACGGATGACAAATTTTCGGGTGAATTTTTTTTTCGAGCGAAACTCAGGATAAGGCTTAATAAATGTGAGCTCACAAATATCCGGATTCCTCTAAAATTTTTATTTTATTTATGTAAATACATATGTTTGTAAATTTGAATGTTTGTGAGAGTGTTAGTATGTTTGTTGTTCTTTCACGCTAAAACTGCTGCACATATTTCAATTAAGTTTAGCACACAAGTAGGGTATAACCCGGATTAACATATAGGATGGTTTTGAAGAGAGTTGCCAACTTTTTCAAAAGTTAAAATCAATCCATTAACAAGTTAAATAAAATATTACAACAAATATGTCAAACGAAAAGTGGTTAAAAATGCTTTGTGTCGAGAATATTTTTTTAAGATGGTTGCCACCTGTTTAAAGGGTTAAGATCAATTTAATTAACAAGTTAAACGAAATATTTTGATATGGGTGTCAAACGAGAGAGGTTGAAGAAAGCTTTGTTTCAAACATATATTTAAAGGGTGTTGACTCCGTTTAGAAATTCAAAATCAAATTAATTAACAAGTTATATAAAATATTTTAATGTGGGAATGTGTAATGACTGAGATTTTACGAAAGCTGTATCTATTTGGAAAATATTTTAATTAAGCATGAATTTAATAAATTTAAGTATGAAAGTTTGTGAGTGAGTGTGTGAAAATGTGTGTTGGTTTTTCTTTAAATATAATTTGGCGTGCAGATAGCTTATGACCTGGATTAACATACAGCATTTTTTGGAGTAAACTTCCAAGACTCTTGGGTCTCATTGCCTTTTTTTTCGATTTGAGAAAGTACGCGCCCTAGTATTCTCAACTTCTAATAGCTTTCCTTTAGAGTGCACCCTTTCTTTTTGGTATCTCGCATCATCATTAAAAAATCAACTATGATAAATATTTAAATTAATTTTTTTTACTAATTTCTATAATTTTTTATTACAGGATTGTATGCCAGTAAAATTCAAAGGAATTCATTTCATAGGACAACCTTGGTATGTGGATGTCGTTCTGCGAGTGATAAAACCTTTCTTAAATGAAAAAATAAAGCGACGTCTACTGGTACATGGCACCAATTTGACCACCTTACACAGCATGGTCAGTAAAGATATTTTACCACCCGATTTGGGTGGTGAGGGACCAGCTATTAATACACTAGACTGGTATCATTACCTATTGGAGTCTAGCCAGAATTGTGAATCGAGAAAGTCCTATAGACTTATTGAGGCGACTGTCTATTCAAAAACAGCGGATTGGCACAAACAGGATTCCGGATGTGAAGCGAAAAAAATCGAATCGAATGAAACTTTAATTGAAAATATCAACCAAATCTCATGACACTGTAGACTTTTACTTTTTATAATAATAATTTCTAAAGAAAACCATTTGTATGTGTTTTTTAAATAAGTTATGTGGAATGGGGTGTGGTTTCCTGGTTACTTACATAAATATGTACGTCATGCTATTAAATAATTATTTAAGAAATCCTAAACTGCTACAAATCGTTAACTACACTGTATTTAGTCAAGTCTGAAGAACCCTGGCTTTTACACGCCTTAAAAGTGTTTTAGTGATCTACATAAATATGTGTGTAAATATGTATGGTTAGCTCGCTGAATAATGTCGAAAATCCACAAGAAATGAATCTGTGCAATCAAGTTTAACTAATGCACAGTGGTTCAGTCGGAGGTCAAAACTCAAAAATATGCACATCGTCTAACCTGTGATTGATTGACAGGCAATCAGTCATTACTTTACCCATTACCATTTACTTCATTACAGTCAAGGCATATTCAACAAGGTAGAAGTGACAATTCAGTCGAGCTCTCTCATACCTGACTGTAATGTCAAAAAATGTAAACAAAGAAATTAACCCTTTGTTATGCATTTACCATATTCAACATCTTTGAAATGAAAGTTTTTGTAAATATGAAAATATTTAAAATCTCATTAGAATCAGCTTCATTTTATTTATTGAATTTTCTGTTTAATGAAAATGTGGAAATGCATACTTACACATAATTACACACTAAATGAAACACACTCATTTATAAAATCGTTTTGAAAATTTTCTTGCTTTTACTATCCCAATGTTTTTGAGCATTTATTTTTTTATTCAAATACTTAATTCTAAAGTATATTAGACATTAAAAAAAGTTTGATTCTTCTAAATTTATATCAGAACTTAACTTCAATAATTTAGCTATTAAATTTTTGCTATTCGAAATTTCCTTTCCATTAAATTTATTAAAAATTACTTTCAGTTTCTTTATGTCAACAAGGAATACTGGTTTAGGTTTTATCAGACCACCATTTGAAATTTAGCCTATCCATGTATGTATATGAAAGGGAGATTTTCTTTTCATATTCGGTATGATAAATCCTGCACCTGGGACCAAACGCGTCCACTTAGAAATACTCGGCTGCGATAGACAACAAATAAAGTCACGACCACACGTGAAGGGTCTCCTAATGAAACATCGCAGCAATTTGCCCACCGTTGTCGCTTCACTTGACAATTCGAAGGTTTAAAATAACGCACAAGTTTGTTGTCCAGGCTCTTGACAAACACAACGCACCGCTCGCAATTCCTTTTCATTTTATTATGTATTTAAAATCAGTCGCACAGCTCACAATTGAAAATTTATATAAAACAAAAAATTTTGAATAGTATAGGGTTAAGAGTGGACATTTCAGTCGCAGTTCAAAAGAGAGAAATGTCGAAATCACTTCTACCTTGTTATGCCTTGATTACAGTGTAATTTTTTTTGCGATAAAACATTTTTTTAGATTACTTCTTCACTCTCGAAAGTTGACAAAACACATTTTCATTGTGAATCGTGTTTTCAGTGATTCAATACTTCTAACTTTTTTTTATGTTTATTTTACTCAAGTAACTCTGTAATGGAAATTCGAGACAAAAGTAAGTGCTCCTATTTAGAACAATAATTTTCAATATTTATTAAAAGTTGTATTATTTATATCGGTTCCAAGCCAAGTCTATTTTGCCCTTAATTAATTTCTGTTTTATTTATTTATTTTTTAATAAACTTTTAAAAAACCCTGCCACTCAGCGCCACACTTCATTAATTTTTTAATGAAAGCCCATTTCCTGATGAGGTAGAGATTTGAAACTGCAAACTTAGCTCAGAACAGGGTAGCTCATGTTTGACACTTCCACGATTTCGACAATGAATTCCACGATTTTGGCCGAAATTTCGTAAAATTCCCTACCCATATCTCCTTATTTAATAAAAGAAATGTATGTACNCTGATGAGGTAGAGATTTGAAACTGCAAACTTAGCTCAGAACAGGGTAGCCAACTCATGTTTGACACTTCCACGATTTCGACAATGAATTCCACGATTTTGCCCGAAATTTCGTAAAATTCCCTACCCATATCTCCTTATTTAATAAAAGAAATGTATGTATTTTGACATATTGCTGGTCTTTCTGTTTATTTAGTTTTTAAATGCTATTCATCTATTTATTCATAAGCCAAACCAAAGGCTTATAGAGTTATTTAACAAATAAAGAATAAAAAATGTACATATAATATTTACATACATACAGTGGTCGAAAACACTTCACGCCAGGTCGACCCCGGGGACCCCCGTCTGAGGAACCTTAATTTGGAGATTCGGCAACTGGTAAATCAGCATAAGCGGAAAAAGTGGGAGGAGCACTTGAAGGCCTGTAACTTCACATCTGGTGTGAGTAAGCTCTGGTCAACCGTGAGGTCCCTGTCAAACCCAACGAAGCGTGATGACAGAGTGGAAATCTGTTTCGAAGGTCGTGCCTCGTCGGACCCGAAGAAATGCGCACCCTACTTTAGTAGGCAATTCACACTGCACCCTTCGGTAGACAAGGCCAAACGTCGAGTGACCAGGAGGCTGCACAACCTGCCAAAAAACAGTGGACCACTTGTTTTCACCAGCTGTGAAGTGAAGGGGGCCATCGGGAAGGCGAAAGCCTCCAAAGCCATTGGACCCGACGGAATCTGTATGCTGATGCTAAAACATTTAGGGCCTAAGGGAGTAGCTTACCTAACGGAGATCCTCAACCTGTCCATGGCCACTCTCATCATTCCTGATGTGTGGAAATCAAGGAGAGTGGTCCCACTGCTGAAACCGGGGAAGCCCGCCAACAAAGGAGACTCTTATCGCCCGATAACCCTCCTTTCCCCGGTCGCGAAGACGCTTGAGGCCCTACTACTCCCATACTGCACTTGCCACCTGACCCCAGCTAAGCACCAGCACGGATTCCGTAAAGTGCACAGCACAACAACAGCACTTAACGCCATAAACACACAAATAACTCGTGGCCTAAATCGAAACCGCCCCTGTAAGAGAACGGTCCTAGTAGCGCTGGACTTGTCAAAGGCGTTTGACACCGTCTGCCATTCCACGCTACTAGAAGACATCGAGGCCTCCTCACTCCCACAGGGACTGAAGCGATGGTCGGCGAATTATATGAGTGGTCGACAGTCGTCAGTAATCTTCCGAGATCAAACCTCGAAACCAAGAAGGATTAAACAAGGGGTTCCACAAGGTGGTGTTCTCTCCCCCTTACTATTTAACTTCTACATCTCGAAACTTCCTCAACCACCTGAGTTTCCCTGATCTCATACGCTGACGATTGCTCGATTTTGGCGTCCGGGAATGGAATTGATGATCGCTGCTCAAATGTGAACGACTATCTCTCCAGCCTTTCTCGCTTATTCACTGCAAGGATCCTAACACTCTCCCCAACGAAATCAACGGCGACCTTCTTCACCACCTGGACGAAGGTGGTCAGGCTAGAGTTGGGTATACACGTCGACGGCACACCAATACCGACTGTAAACAACCCAAAAATCTTAGGAGTCACCTTCGATAGCCTGCTTTCCTTCTCCGCGCACACAACCGCAATTGTCAATAAAGTACAGAGCCGCAACAAGGTCCTCAAGTCGCTCGCCGGCAGCACTTGGGGCAAAGACAAAAAAACGTCAAACGACAAAGAACCACCTGCACAGCGAGGCCCAAGTGCTCCTCATCAGGGAACACAACAAAATGCTATGTAAGCAATTTCTGGTGGGGTGTCACAGAAGTGAACACCCTAACAGACCGTTGCTTCAGGAGGAGCCTCCGCCCAGGCACGTCAGGGGGCACCTATTCGTGTACAAGGACGCAGTCCAACAGTACATAGACCAACCATTGGACCCGACGAGGTACAGACGAGCCATAAACGGCATTCATAGAGAGTCAGTTACCACCTACCTCGACTCTCGACCTATGAATGCCGTAATACGAGCCCAATCACCACCTGTGGAAGAGACGGAGCTTCAACTGCCAGGCGTTAACCTGGCTCAATTACGGTCTGGATACTGTAGCCGCCTTAACAGCTACCTGTCCAGACTCGACCCCAATATCCCCAATGAGTGCCCGGCATGTGGAGAGTCCCCCCACGACACCAACCACCTCTTTACATGCCAGCTCAATCCGACTCAACTAACACCCCTCTCCCTCTGGTCCGAACCCATCGAAACAGCTCGTTTCCTGGGCCTCCCGTTAGTTGAGCTCGACGACAATTATTGAACGTAGACCCGAAAATGGCGGGGCTTAGTAGTGCCGCTACAACAACAACAACAACTTCAGTCGACCCAAATTTTGACCAGTTTTCTCAATTATTTTTTTTGTGTTATTTCATTTTTTTAATATAGTTCATTCTTTAACAAAACCCGTGTCAATCCAAGTTTAAAACTTTGGTGCAATATTTAAAAAAAATAAATTAACAAACTTTCTAGAACGACTTTTGAAAGTTTTGTAGCCCACTCAAATCTAGTATAATAACAAGCAAATTTCAATGGCAAATTTTTTTTTTTAGAATTTTTTTTTTGCGTAAGTGTTGCGGTTTTCTTCCATATAAAAATAAATTGTGTTTATTCGTTATATGAAAGCAAATGCGACAAAGAAAATTCTAAAAAATCAACGGTAATTTGTATGATTTGCAGGGTTGCATAACCAGTACTTTTAGTTGCAGTTGCATTTCTTATGCAACTTTTTTAAGTCTGTTCGCGTACGCACTATCCAGTAAATCCAGTACTTATTTTATTGGTTTTTTACTGGATGTCGTTTTCGTACGCAAAAACTTGCAAGAAACTAGCAAAAGCGGGGGAATTGAGAGAACAAATGACAGCTGAACTTGTAAGTTTTACTGGATTTTTACTTTGCTAGTAAGAAAAACAGCTGATGGCATGATGCTTAATGTAATTCACATCAGACATCTGCAGCGGGTGCATGATTTTCGTGTACACTCGATCATCTAACAAAACCCGTTTTGCATCGTTCTCTGTATACGAGCAGAAGTATTGTTCGTTATCGACTGAGCTCAAGACGAACATGTTGGCCACAACACCCGATTGCTTTTCATACATACTTGATTGGGTTCGGGTGCTTTGCAGCTCAATATACCCGGGTGT